TCAGGCCCTTGCAGAAGAATTGCCCCCTGGTGGAGGTGTCACTGCACTTCCCCAGGCAGCCCTTTCTCTGCTTCTGGGCCTAGGTTACCTGACAGAGGACAGAGGACAGAGGACAAGCTGCTTTCCACACCATCCTTTGTGACCACCATCTCAGCAGCCCCCAAGGGAAATGTGAGTGTCTTGTTCATACCTGCCTGCTCTACAAGGTAGAGGCAGGAATGGACAGTGCGTGGTGGTTGGAGCCAGGGGCATAGGCATGACAGGGCTCTGGCCTCACCCCTCTCTAGCTTTCACCCCCTGTTCAATCTGAACAAAACTCCCCACCCCTCAAACCTCTTCCTGCTTTCTCTTCCAGAAGAAAATCTGTGCCACCTTCTCCTGCCATGGCAGTGACTGCTTCAAAAGGCAGGAAGCTGTCACCATGTGCCCTGAAGACTTAGAGTTCTGTGAGGTGGGCCCTGGAGTGCTCGAAGGACCGGGATGCTGTCTTCCTCAGAGCTACAGTCCTTTCTCCCCCCGCCTGAAGGGAGTAGGTCAGCACCTGAATCTGGCTGGAGCTAGACCTGCTGGGAGCTAGGCTGTCTGGGGTCTAGCAAGCTTGGCCCTCTCAACTCTGTATTATGCCAAAATGCAGGGCAGCAGCTGGAATTTTCCAAGTTTCCATGATGTGCCCCCGTTTCTGACCACCCTGCATGTTCACTGGGGACTGATTTACCTCATGGCAGAGAGCTACGGGGTCCAGGGAAGTTCATCTCAGCCCACGGCCCACTGAACACTTTTTGCCTGCATGGGTTGGGGCAAGGGTAAGGGGAGAATGAGTGGTCCCATCTCTTCTTGGAGCTGTAACAGTCCAGCTCAGGCTACACTGCAGACTACACCCATGTCTGCAAGGCAGAGACCCCCAGGTGTTATGGGGCAGCTGCCTCCAGCTGGATGGGAGCCTCTACTTCAACCAGGCAGTCCTACAGTCTACCAGGAGCCTCCTGAACTGGGCCTTGGCTACAGCCACACTGCTACTCCTCTACCCTGCCCTGCTCCTGTTCCTGCTCCCTTACCTGGGCCCAACAGAATCAGGGAGCAGCAGCCAGGAAGACCCTGTAGACCCTGCAAGCTCCCAGGCCTACCCCTAGCTCTGAATTCTTTCTTTCCTTTTTTTTTTTGTTTTTTTTTTAATAAAAGATGACTGGTAAGGGGATCTCAACCCTTGACTTGGTGTTGTCAGCACCACACTCACCCAGTGAGCGAACCGGCCATCCCTATATAGGATCCGAACCCGTGGCCTTGGTGTTATCAGTACTGCACTCTCCCAAGTGAGCCACAGGCCGGCCCTATCTAGCTCTGATTTCTGTAGCTGTCTTTAGTGAGAGGGATATATCGAGTCCATATCTGTGAGCTCCAGGCTCCTCATTTTTCCCCTCCCAGGGCTTAGGCTTGAACACGGTGCCCTCCAAGGGGGAAGGGCCTTAGCCCCAATCCCAGGGAGAGGCTGAGATTTGTCTGGAAAAGCAATCTGCCTGACCCCAATCCCAGTGGGAGGATCCCCAAATCCTGAAGGAACAGTTTCTGCGTCTGTGAAAAGTGCCTGGCCCCATCCACTTTTCCCAGATCCTCCTTTCCCAGCCTGTGACACTAAGAGCAGGGTTGGAGTTGGGGTTCCCCTGGTTTCCTGCAGTGACCTCCACACCCTTGATTTCTAAGGGTCTGAATCAATCCCCTTTTCCCCCATCCCCCACATGACTTGGAAACCAAATTCAAATAATCCTGAGCTCCATTTGAGTTGTGGATATCTCCAGGAAAAGGAGAGGATTGGGAAGAAGGTGATATCTGTTTCTGGAAGAGGTTTACTTATCTGAAGTTGGACTGGTCATTAGGGCGGCAGCTTAGCTTAGGGAAAGAGGAGCAGAGACTGACTAGAAGTCACAATAAAATAAAAGTCGTACCCACCAGCCACCAAAATAAAAGTTACAGTGGTCACCCCTTCTCCTTCCCTAGCACTGGCCCATTCCTTCAGTTTGGGTCAAATCTTGAGAGAAAGTATATTCATTAAGATAATTCATTAAGTCATTCACTAATTCAATAAACATTTTCCAGGAGCCAACTGTGTGCCAGTAACTGCTGGGATGATGAGGAAAAGACAGCCTTGTCCTCAGGGAGCTTACAGCTTAGTAAAATGGCCAACAGGCTGACAGAGAACATCTGAGAGTCCCTTATTTTAGCTTGCCCTTTTTGTCCATCTAGAGCAAACTCCTTGTCTTAGAAGGGGAAACTGAGGCCCAAAGGGAAAAAGGTCGTGGCCAAAGGCACATTACCGAGTGCATTGGGGAAGGGGCTTGAGAACAACAGTCCACCCTCAGGCTGTCTTGAGAGCCGAAGGGGCTCCTCCCACATCCTCTCTCCTCCCCAGGCATGGAGGCCTCTGTGTCAGCCTGGTGATAGTCATTGCAGTACCACACATGAACAGTGTCATACATGTGACAAAGTGTGTTCACTTCCATCATCCTCAAACAGCCCCATATGGCAGGCAGGGCGGGCAGGGTGGAGGGAGGAAATATGGCAGTGTGTGGCAGTATAGATGGCACAGGAGTTGGAGTCAGACTTTCAGCTGAGTCCCAGTCTGACTACTTGCTAGCTACAGGACCTCTGTCAAATTGCTTAATATCTCTGAGCCTCAGTTTCTCCACCTGGAAAATGGTGGTAATGGTTCTTCGTAGTCTTGTTCTCCCTCCATTAAGGTAGGACAGGGTAGTTATTTGGGGGGAAACAGTTTTAGTACAGGTCAGAGCTGTCCCTCCTGGAGTCAGAATAGCTGAGGACAGGATTAGAAGAAAATAAAAATGCATTGTATTTTTCCCTTAAGGTAAACGTGGCCATCTTCCTTCTGGGCCCCAGGAAGCTCTGGCTCCATGACTTACAGAGGTCCAGGGATGTGGGTTAGGACATTCATTAGAAAAGCCTTACGTCCATCAACAGATGAATGGATAAAGAAAATGTGGCTTATATACACAATGAAATACTCCTCCGCCATGAAAAAGAATGAAATCCTGTCATTTGCAGCAACATGATGAGCCCGGAAGACATTATGTTAAGTGAAATAAGTCAGGTACAGAAAGATAAACACCACGTGTTCTCACTTACATGTGGGAGCTAAAAAAAAAAAAAAAGTTGAACTTTTAGAAATTGAGAGTAGAATTGTGATTACTAGAGGCTGGGAAGCCAAGGAGAAGGAGGGATAGTGAGAGGTTAGTTAATGGACACAAAAGTACAGCTAAATAGGAAAACTAAGTTCTAGTGGTTTACAGTAGTGCTAGGCATCTATAATTAACAATAACTTATTGTATGCTCTCAAATGGCTAAGAGAGGAGCTCAAATGTTCTCATGACAAATTTTTGCAATGATGAATTGCAAACTACCCTGATTTGATCATTACACATTGTATACATGTATTGAAATATAATTCTGTACCCCATAAATATGTACAATAAACACGTTTCAATTAGAAAACAAGTTCCTTAAAAAAGAAAGAAAGAAAACCTTTCCAGAATAGGGAGCCCAGTATACCCCAGGATGTAAGGAGTTAATGGGGACGGGGAGCCATCCCCCACCCATGGCCGTGATTGACTTGGGCATGCTGGGACTTGCAGGCTGGCTGGCCATCCTGCGGCGCAGGGGCCGCTGGGAAATGTAGTCACTGGCTCGGCCCTAGGGACACGGTATCCTGTACGCCTAGCGGTGACAGCTCAGGAGGTAGGCAGCAATGGCCGGGGGCTGGGAATAGGTGGGAAGCAGGAAAGCCAGAGCAGGACTGGACAGGAGGGAGTGGGCAAGCTGCGGGCTGGGACCCCTGGCCTGCAGCTGTCAGACCGGATGCCCCCCTGTTGCAGCTGATGCAACGGGCCTGCTGGGTGGGGTGAGGGGCAAGGAGCAATGGACCGCTTTTCTTGTCTCCAAGGAAAGAGGAACAGGACCGGTTCCTTCTCCAGGAAGGGACCCTACCTTCCTGAAAGTAAGGGGTTGTTCCCTCCAACCCTATGCAGACAAACCACTGACACCTCCCAGAAGTGCCAGCAGGATCAATACTGCTACCCTGAAAAAGGGAGGCAGAGCCCTGTCCCAGGAGCAATGGGAACAGGTCCCTCACTTCCAACAAGTAGACTGCATCCCACTCAGGAACAACTGAATGCCCTCCCAGACAAAGGACAGTATAACAAATCGTAGATCCCACTGGTGCAAAGAGATGCGGCCCTCTCCCTAGAAAGTTTAAAACGGCCTAGTCTAGGGAGGAGGAGGAGGAGGAGATGGGTCAGGCCGGTCCTCTACCTTCTCCCTCGACAAAGGCCCCTCCTTCCTGCCCACACTCGTCTGAGGAAGCTCCATTACCTCGTGGGAACTGGTTGACCAAAGAGGGTTCCCATCTGCCCTCCCCCAGGGTGTGTCTGCTCAACAGATGCCAGCATGGACCAGTCTGTGGCAATCCAGGAGACCCTGGCTGAGGGGGAATATTGCATTATCATATCCTTCCCAGCTTGAAGCTCCCAGCCCTGCACTTGCCCTGGCCTCAGCAAGTAGAATGGAAAGTGTCAAGGCGTCTGTCCACTGTCCTCCCTCTCTCTGAGCCGTGAAGGGAAAAGGAAACCATTATTTACTAAGTACCTACTTGGTCCTGGACTCTGCTAGGTGCTTTAAATATGCAGTTACCTTCCCAACCCCTTGTGAAGTTGGAGATTATTATCCCCATTTCACAGATGAGGAAGGCTCAGAGAGGGGAAGTGACTTGCCCAGGGTCACACAGTGACCCTTTAAACAAGAAGGATGTTTATTGATTCACAGAACTGGAAGTTCAGGTGTAGGGTGGGCTTCATGATGGAATACTACTGAGCCATAAAAAAGAATAAAATTCTGCCATTTGCTGGAGGGGAGGGGCAGGGCAGGGCAGGTGGAGTGGGCTGGATTGGGCCTCCATTTTGTTTTCCCTTGACTCGGAGCAGCAGGCAGTGCAAGGTGTGCTATGTGAGGGAGAGAGCCAGCAGAGCCGCCTCCTGGGGCTCGTGCGCTACCGCCTGGAGCACGGTGGCCAGGAATATGCGTAAGTGAGGGGCTCAGCCCTGTCTGTCTGGGCCAGGGGGGTCTTCTTCACTATACCGTCCAGCTGGGCTTCCACCATCCCTCCAGGGAAGGGTCTGAGGCTTCTAGGATAGTTATCATGATGATAGTTAATATTGTTTGAACACTGTGTTCTTTTTCTTTTTTTGTCCTTTTTGAGACCGGCCGCACCGCGCTCCTGTGAGCACACCGGTCATCCCTATATAGGATCCGAACCCACGGCAGGAGTACTGCTGCGCTCCAAGCGCTGCACTCTCCCGAGTGCACCATGGGCTCGGCCCTTGAACACTGTGTTCTAAGCCTTTCCCATGTATTAGCTCATGTAATCCTCAAGATTTGGTGAGGAAGCTTCCTGAGGCCAGGCAGCTCATCACACTGTGCCAGATCTGGAGCCTCATGGCCTGACTGCCTGCATTCAAGTCCAGGCTTTGTTACTTCTGAGCCGTGTGATCTTGAGCAGGTTGTTTTAATTCTCTGTACCTCAATCTGTCCAGATTAAAGATTCAAGTAGTTAGTACATGTAACATTTTTAAATACAACAAGGCACATAGAAAGTGCTCAATAAATGTTGCCTGATAACACCTGCATATTACATATAGGCAGAGAGAGAATAAATAATATTTGCCAAAGGTCTCATAGCTAGTAAGTGAACCTCAGTGTATCAGAGCTGGGAGGGAAGGTTCCTCAGGCATTTTCTCATCTACACCCTCATTTTATAGATGGGGAAATAGGTTCAGAAAGAGAAAGGGGGTGGTTAAGGTTGCACTGCTTCTGTCACATGAAATGCTAGAATGCTCCATGAATAGATTGAACATGTGTTTTACTAAGAAAGTGGGGGTTCTGCCATATGAGAAAAGTCAGCTTTGATGAGCTCATCCATAAAATTGCAGTCTCTGATGGGCACTGTGGACAGAGATGGAACGAGGAGTGTGCACAGCCAGGCACCGCCAGCACAGTGCTAGGGACCAGGGAGGGAGTGTGAGCAGCCCAAGGCCCCCAAGACGGGCCTGAGGACAGCCAGTGGGCCCTGTCCTCACTTCTACTTCCTGCCCATAGTCTCTTCCTGTATACGCATCGGAGGATGGCCATTACCGGGGATGATGTCTCTTTGGACCAGATAGTGCCAATCTCGCGGGATTTTACGCTGGAAGAAGGTGCTGTAGGGGGATGGGTGGTATGAATCCCTCTCCTCTGGACCCCCCAGGTCATCTTTGCCCTTGTTGGGGAGTGGGAGAGCAGTGGGAGTAAGGATGACACTAGGGCTGGGTCACTCAATTGCTAAGGGCATTCTTGTTTCCCTCCTCCACAGTGTCCCCAGATGGTGAACTCTACATCCTTGGTGAGTGGTCCTCTCAGTCTGGGTCCCAGTTGGGTCAGGGGGTACAGGATCTGCAGAGAGAGAGCAATGGTGTGAAGTAAGAGCATCCCCTGGTATCCTTCCTGTGGCAAGTAAGACCCTGCAGGACCTGGCCCCCGCCCACCTCTGGCCCATCACCCTCTTCCTTGCTTGCTGTTTCCATCACCTCAAACATCCCATGTTCTCACCATGGAGCCCTGCACTTGCTGCTGCCTCTCCTGAAAGCCTCACACCTCTCTTCACTTAGCCAGCTCCTATTCCTCCTTCAGGGCTTCCACTCACACATTTCCTAGGAAGCTTTGTTGAACCCCTGGAATTGTTTGTATCTCACACGTGTCTTTTCTCATCCTTGCCATGCTCTGTCACTCACAATGATTTAATTATTTGTATTGACCTATTTAATGCCTGTCTTCTTTGCTAGACAATAATTATAATAGAAGCAAATATTTAATCAATAATTATTTTGTGCCAGGCACTACACGAAAAGATTTACACACATCATATTGTGGTTTCTTCTCAACAACTCTATGAGGTTAAAATTGTTCTTATTCCCATTTGATGGACAAGGTAACTGAGGCCCAGAGAAATTAAATAATTTAGTAAGGGGTGGAGCCAGAATTCAAACTCAGAATACAGACTCCAGAGCCCACACTCTTAATCACTCTCCTAGATTACTTCTGTTCACTCAGTTTGGCACATGTTTTTGAGTGCTCACCATGTGCCCAGTAATGGGCATATGCTATGAACAAGTTGCATTCCACAGCTTTGTTCCCTGAAGACAGGACCACATCTGTTCTCTTCACCGTGGTATTCCCGTGCCCAGCACAGTACTTAGCACTGTTAAGTAGACTGACTGATAGAGAGCCCCTCTTGTCTGCTTCTACATGCTTTCCATTCCACTGAATAGACTACAGGTCCAGAGAAACTGTTCTCTTCCAGCTCCATCTAGTACTGTGGTGGTGAGGCTTATTAACTTTTCAGAGTCTTGATCTACCCCCTCTCTAAAGTGGGAATGATGTTAATTTGGAATTGAAGGTACAGAGGGTCGCCCCATTGTCCCAGCAGCAGCCCTGAATGAGTTGCTTAAGGGTCTGACGGACTTTGGGAGCCTGGACTGCTGATTCTGTTTGGGGACTCCTGCCTTAAGATATATGCAAGCACTTAGCTCCTGACAGCCAAGTGCTCATTTCCTGCCCCCTCTGTGCAGGCTCAGATGTGACTGTCCGGCTGGACACAGAGGAGCTCAGCCTCATGTTCCAGCTTCCATTTGGTTCACACACCAGGATGTTCCTCCAGGAAGTCGCCAGGGCCTATCCAGGTGAGACTCAAATCTCCCTGGGGGTGCGGGGTGGGGGTTAGCTGGGCACTCACCTACCCATTCTAGTTAACTTTCCATGCTCTAGACTCACACTCCATGGTTTCTGTGCCCTCTCAGAGCTGCCAGCATAAAGCCCCAGTTCCCCTAGGCCTCCAGCCAACCATGGTGTTTGCTTTTGTTTACAGTTTCTCGACCCGAGTGTTAACCACAGCAGGGCCACTTTGCCCTTCTGGCAAAGGGCTGCACAGAGTGGATTGTGACTCTGGTGTAAAATCTCTTACAAGTTGGCAAGGTCAGTAGTTTCTAGGGCTAACTTCCCTCTCTCTGCCACTCATAGCTAGAACAGGGAAATCTGTCATATGGGCTCCCCTGTCCTTGAACCCTGCTTTGTCCCCCACTTCAGCTGAGAAAATGGTCTAGCTTTGGCCTAGCAGTGACAGACCTCTAGGACAGAATTTGTTTAGATTGGATCAGTCAAGAAGGTAAAGGAGAGTTTGTGTACGGAACAAAAGATCTGCCAGACACAGAACATGCAAATTCTAGCGACCAGGTGCTGGAGCTTAGGTGTTTACCCAATACTATGAGTAGTTTCCTTTCAAGCTAACATCTTGTCTCTGAAGGAACAGGGGGAGGGTTTGCCTACTATTGTGGTCTCACTGTGGAGACTGAACCTCTGGGGGCTCCAGCTGTTTCCTGTGGTGTGCCAGGAAAGGGACTAGCTTTGGATGCAAACTGGGGTATGGGGGAAAAGGAAGGAAAAAATAAGATTATAGAGCCTTGAATGCCTCGTCAAGGAGTTTAAAAGTTATTCAATAAGGAGGGGGAAATTTTTTTTCAAACCTTAAAATAATAACATTTTATGATCACTAGTAGTAATTGTAGGAAGGGTAATACTAGTAATAACAGCAAAGAGCATGGGCTTTGAAACTACACAGCCCCTTGAGTTTGAAACCTACCTCTGCCGGTCCCTCACTATGTGGCTTTGAGCAAGCCACTTCACCTCTCTGAACCTTAGCTTTTTGTAGGCTTTTGTATGTAACAAATATCTTCCTCATGGGGTTGTAAGAATTAAATGAGATAACACATGTGAAAGTGCCCACCACATAGCAGGAGCTCAGAAAATATTTCTTCCTTCTGTACAAGAGGGCTCATAGCTAACATTCATGGTTGACTGATCATGTGCTAGGCACTATTCTAAGAACTTTTCACACATTATCTCGTTTAAACCTTACAGGGTAGGTATTATCAATGTCTTCATTTTACAGATGAGGAAGCTGAGGCTCAGAGAGGGTTAAGTGCCTTGCCTGACTACATAGGTAATAAACTATAGGGCAAGGATTAGGCAGGATTAGATAGTTCTACTCCAGAGGCGGAGCTATTGAGTGTTTTGTCTAGTGCTTCCTTAGCTCACGGAAAGGCTTTGTGTGGGAGGTGATGTTTAAGCTGAGGTTAGAAGGATGAGCAAGAGTTTTTTCCCAGGCAGGCAACAAGGAGGAAAAGAACATGGTGGTCGGAGGGAAGAGCAGGTCATTTGGTGGGACTGAACTTGGGGTAGGAAGAGGGTGTGGAGAGAGCTGAACCAGGAAAAGCCAGCAGAGGGCAGCTCATAATGACTCAAATAACCAGCAAAGAGCTTGGACTGTGCCCTGTAGCTTGTGGGAAGCTGTTAAGGAGTTTTAAACTGGGGAGTAACAAGGCAAGGTTTCCAAGTTAGAAAAGTTCATTTGGCAACTGGTATGGAAAGAGCCTGAGCAGAGAGATCAATAGGAATGTATTGCAATGGCTCAGGCCTAAAAAATGAGGCTTTGACATGGTGCTGATAACACCAAGGTCCAGGGTATCGGCCAGCCACCAAACAAATAAACAAACAAACAAAAACAATGAGGCTTTGACCAGGGGTGCTGGTGATGGGAATGGGGAAGAGGAAATGGACTAGACAGACACTGAGGACGCCAAGCTGATGAGAAGAAGGTGCCGTGGAGGCAGTGATTTTTGGTTATGTTCACAACGTTATCCCCAGTGATTAGAACAGTGCCCGGCACGTAAAAGGCTCCTAATAAATATTTGTTGAATGGATGAACAGAGCTTGGTACCAAGCTGTGAGAATGAAAAATAGAGAGGAGTTGCGAAGGACGTCTCTCCTTTAGGCTTGGGTGTCTGTCTTGCAATCCCCCTTACTTGCTGTTCCCTCTGGTGTCCACACCACACGTGGGGTAACCAGCAGAAAAATTCTGCCTAACTCAACTTCTCTGAGCAATTGTCAAGATTGGGATTTCCTCAAGGAAAGGCCTGGGTGTCAGGGGACTCTCAGAACTGACAGACTCTTGGATACCCACCAGCCCAACCCTTGAATTTCACAGATTAAGGGACTAGAGTCCCCCACGTTTCCTCATTTATGATGTCCTTGCAAATCCAGTTCAGTTTGGTCAGTTCAGTTTCTACAAGAGGGGCAGCAGGCAGGATAGTACAGGGTTAATAGCAAGTGGTTTTTTTTTTTTTTTTTTTCCCCAAAAGATGATCGGTAAGGAGATCTTAACCCTTGACTTGGTGTTGTCAGCACCACGCTCAGCCAGTGAGCAACCGGCCATCCCTATATGGGATCCGAACCCGTGGCCTTGGTGTTATCAGCACCGCACTCCACAGGCCGGCCCCAATAGCAAGTGTTTTGGAATGAGACGGACATGGTTTGACTCTGAGGCAGAGGTGGCTGGGGAATATCTATAAAGAAGGGGTGGCCATCTGGTTAAGGGGGAACGGAGGCCTTGTCTTGATGGTATATTTTACAGCAAGCACCAGGCTTTTACCTCGAGTGTGTTTCTTTGGAGTGGCCTGCAAGTTGCTGATGGAGGTTATGGGTGGTTAAAGCCCCCCACCCACCCTTCAGCACTGGCATCCATTTGAGTCTCCCACTCTGCCACTTATTCTATGACCTTAGACTTAACCTCTCTGAACTCAGTTGCCCAGTATATAAGATTGGGAAAACGGTTCCCCACCTCATAAAGTTTGTTGTGAGGATTAAGGAGGTAATACATACATATGATGCACAGACCTTGGCACATACCCCGAGGTCAGAAGAATGGCGGGGTTCTCTGCCGTGGTATAGCACTTCTGTGTTCACATGTATTTTTGCATTTCAACCCAAGACCGACCCCGTGCGTCAGGGAAACAGGCTCGGAGCCTCCAGAGATTACAGTCATGGAGAGGTGGGGCCGGCTCCTCAAGCCCGTGGCTCAGTCAGCCTTCCTCATTCCTGCTACAGGATTCGACCCTGCCACCCGGGATCCTCAGTTCCTGTGGCTGTCGAGATACAGGAGCGCGGAGCTGGTGCTCGAATCGCAGATGCCGCGCGGTTGGAGCTGGGCCCCAGGCACCTGGCCCGGGTGCACGACGATTAGCGAAGGTATGTATCCGTCTCGGAAAGGAGCGGTGGGGATTGGAGGAGGCCCGCCTCAGGGATGGACTCCGTCCTGTGTAGGGGCGGGGCGGTGGAGCAGGCTGCCTTTCGATTGGCGGAGGTGGCTCGCGGGGGCGGGCCCGCCTGGGGGCGGAGCGCGCGGGGCGGCGGGCGATGAAGAGCTTGAGGAAGCAGGCCGGGAAATGTCCGCCGCAACCGGTTCTCGGGAGCGCGACTCTGCAGGTCTGGCGGGCGGTGGGAAGCTGGGCTGGGGATCTGGGCCGGGGGCGGCGGCGGCGGGCCCGGTCCTCGGATGGGCAGGGTCTGCGGTTTAGCCCGTGGACGCGAGGACCAAGGTGCTGGCCCTGCGGAGGTGGGGATGCTGGTCTGAAATTCTGTGGGGATGTTATTCTGAGCCGGGCATGATGAGGGCAGGCGGTGGGAGTGGGGTACTCAGGAATTCGGAGGTGGGGGGTTTAGTAAAGCTCTGTTCCTGACTCGCTGTGTGACCTCAGGCCACTCGCTGCCCTTCTCTGGGCCTCAGTTTCTCCAGTTGAGCTTGCTCTTCAGTCCTGACCTTACGAGTTCGGCGTTTGCGGGTGCACTCCCTATGACAGAGCCTTCTCTTGGGTGAGGTATGGTGTGTTTGGGGGCCCTCTGTCAGTCCCCAGCCCCTTTGATAGATTGGGCTGGAGACCGGGGGAGCCCCGTCCATCCTAGGACTGGAGGCCAGGTTACATGTGAAGGGGACTAGGTTTTTTCCACCTAGCCGTTCCATAATACAGATAATGTTGCGCAGCACAAAAGGCCAATTGTTGTGCAAGAGGTTGTCTTTTGAAGAGTGAGAGGCTCAGGGCTGAAATTTGGGTCAGTCCGGTGCTTTGGGAGGATTTGCAGATGTCTTTTCTGTCCATCTCTACGATTTCCTGCAAGGGCTCCCTGGTGTTTTTTTCCCCCTGGGTGTGCCCAGGACGCTCCAGTTATGTGCAAGCTTTGGGCATGGCCACCAGTATCCATTTGTGTCCCTTTTCTCAGTCATTTGCTAGGGATGAAGAGTCTGTCAAGTAGCTGTGTGGGCCAGCACTCCACTTGCTCTTACAAGGCTTGGAAACTGTGAAGGGTGGGGAGGAGTGGCATGTTGCTCAAGAGTTTATAAAATGAAAGGAAACTAGATGAGCAGAGGACTTCCTCAGTGCTTATGCTTTTTCCTTCATTGCAGCCACCACAAGATGCAATTGAAGCACCGGATGGTACTTATAGTTTGCATCTTTCTTGGGCTTATCTCAGAGTTCAGTTGAAGAGCTGATCTTGAGACAGCTATTGCTTCAGTTTCCATGGCATTCTGGGTTGTGGTGTTGGGTCAGGTGAGCGTTTAAGATTAAGAGCATATCCTTTCCTTGTCCCTTTGCAAGAGCTACCAGAATCCAGACAATTGGTGGAGGACAGGCCCAATGGCAGCAGAAGGAGGTGGGTTCTGTCTTCTCAGCCAGCAGGCCAGATCCTGGCTGTAGGAGCGCTTCATTCTCTTACTATGGAAGTCTTCCATGAGAAGTCAGGCCAGCTCTGATGTCAGTTATTTGCCCCTGGATGAGAAATACGCAGAATCTTACACTTCCTTTAAAAAAAAAAAAAAAAAAAAAAAACTAGCCACATGCAGTTGAGGAGTTACTGTCAAGGTTTTGGTTTATTTTTAGTTTAAAAGAATTGTCCCCCTGCTAATACCTACAGTAAGTGGGGTTACACTATTAATTGTTAAATTGCTCTTGTTAAGATTAGTAAGAAATGCCACCAAGACCCCGCTTCTGTTCAGGTCATCTTTCTTTCCAAAGTTGCTCTGGCCTTGGAGGAGAGTTACATCTTCTACAACAGGTAGAGAAACCCTTTGGGCTGCCTCAGGTTGATCCCTTCAGTCCAGGTCCCAAGAGAAACAGGTAGTGGATTTGGTTCTTCCTATATGCATATGATCAAAATATCCACTTCTTGATCACTTGGGGAACCAAGATAAAAAGCTGCTTAAAAATGCTGTTTGTGATGCACAGCAGGAAAAACAAGGCACCCCCCAGGATCTGGCAATCTTACCAAGAAAGATCTGGTAGTAAGACAGCATAGGGTTGACCCAGCAGGGTGAGGCTCTGCAGGGTGAGCCAAGGTCAAGAGTACCTTGAAGTCTTAGGTGTTTTGGGGGCAAGGTGAATATGGTCTTCACTCCTAGCCTTTGCCTTGGTGGAAAAAGGAAAGATCTCACTTTGGCGATTCTCTTCAAAATGTCTCTTCCTTTCTTTGATTTGTTTCTGCTGAATTCAGGACTGTTAGGGTGAGCTGGGTAGGGATTATAGTAGAAAAATGAAATGAAGCTAGTTTCAGATTGGAATCCATGTCTTCAGGTTCAGACTGGTGTCTCGGAGCTGGGATGTTGAAGTGAGATGTAATGCTTCCGGTTGAGGGGCAGCCTGTCCTTCTGATTTTCTTGGCCTCTTCAGCTGCAGAGACCTTGTACACTGGCCTTAGACTGGTAGCTGTTGTAGGCAGGAGCTTTTCTGCTTCTTCACTTATTTGACTACTCTTAACTTTTAAGTGTAGCTCTTTCTTTCCTTAAAAGAAAAATGGGGTTTGATTTGGAAGAAATGCCTCATTATTTCTATCTAGTTGACTGAAGGTGCTCTTATCCTGAAAACCCCATTGGGGATCTTGCATAGGGCTTAGTATTCAACTAGGACATTGGGTAAAATGTTCACCTGCATTTCATCCCGTGTACATGCAAAGACCTAGAGCTGTGTTCTGGAGGATTCTGAGCTATACACTAGAAACAGCTACTCAGAAGTCCCATGAGGGCTATTCTGGGCTAATTTATTTATTTATTTTTTTAAAAGATGACTGGTAAGGGGATCTTAACCCTTGACTTGGTGTTGTCAGCACCACGCTCACCCAGTGAGCAAACCAGCCATCCCTATATGGGATCCGAATCCGTGGCCTTGGTGTTATCAGCACCGCACTCTCCCGAGTGAGCCACAGGCCGGCCCTATTCTGGGCTAATTTAACAAAGTGATAGTAGCAAACAAATTTTGGTCTTTTGAAATGGTGTTTTTATTCCATGGTCAAATCAAAGTGAGCCAACTTTGTAGTAACTCAAATTAAGAGTGAAATGTGTTATGAATATTTTTTCTCGTGGACCAAGGATACAAAGCATTAAAGTCTGTCTGGCCTGTGAAAGGAAATGAATGCTATTTATATCTCAGGGTAACGAAAAGGGTAACCTAGATCACCAGGGCAGAAGCCAGAGAGAATGTTAGAAAAATAGCCTCTGGCTTGGTTTTCTCTTTCGTTCTCGTTCTCTTTCTTTCATCTTGCTTTGTCAGTGTAAGTCAAACCTGTGTTACCAACATATCCTCTCAGCATGGTGTATTAGTCAGTTTCTGTTGCTTATAACAAAATACTTGGAACTGGGTAATTCATAAAGAAAACAAAATTTATTGCTTACAGTTTCAGAGGCTGGGAAGTCCAAAATCCAGGGAACACTCTGGTGATTGTTCTCTTTGGGGTAGCTTTACAGCAATGCAGGGATCTCACATGGTAGGAAATGGTGGAGCATTCCTCCTCATTCACTCTCCCTTTAAAGTCCTCTAAACCATGCCCCTGACCACATTTTTAATCCATTCACTGCAGCATGGTCCAACAACCTAATCACCTCTTCAGGGCCCCACGTTTCAATTACCATACTAAGATTTTTCCACCCTCAACAATTACAGTGGGGATTTAAGCTTCAATGATTGGGGGCAGAGATCCAATTTATAGCACATGGGGAAAAAATGAATTTTTGTTTATCCTAGAGATAGAAATATCACCCATCATTTCCACCTTTGTGGGAAGCTCTGCAGACTCCTAAGCAAATTAATTTATTTTGGGTCACTTTGTTTCTTTAAACGAAAGAGAACTATATTCATTTTTCTTCCTCCTTTTGTTGTTCCCCATCCATTTTCCTTCTTTGTCCCATTTAATCCCGTGGATGTTTCTAGTACAGGAGAATCCCTAAAGACTTTTCTTTTCTTCTGAAAACAGTTTGTTTTGGAATTCTTCAGTGGTTGTCTAGAGGAAAAGAAGTGTCCCACAAACATTCAGTTAGAAGTGGAGCTTTGTAAAGAAAAATTCTCAGGGATTGATGGTCCAGGAAGAGGGAGGCATCAGTATTTATTAAAGGAAAGACAGTGTTGGGAGTATAGAAGCTAGCTGACTTGTATACTTAAAATATACTGTAACGATTTTGTAGACATCGATGGTGATTTGTATATAAACTGAAGCTAGCAAATATGAACCAAGAAGACTTTCTTGTAATGTTGATGAGGGTTTAAACAAAGTGTATGTCTAAATGGCCTGGACATTTTTCTCTTTCTTTTCCTTATTGCTCTTTGGTACAGTATTAGACATATCTCTTGACTTCTCTCTCTTGCATCTGTAAATGGGAGTGAATGCTTGCCTCCTGGATGATCACACAGGACTTAAGGAATGCTAAATTGTCTCAGGGTGCTTTCATTTGGGAAACAGAAATTGCAAATGACCATTTCCAGGAGCTTAGAGTCTGGCCCACTTCAGGGACTATCCCAGAGTGGTTTCTTCCCAGTAAAAACTACGCTCATTATCTTCTTTACTCCTTCCCTCCTTCCAGTTTCTTTTCTCTTAATGCAGTCACTAAAAACCTCAGTCATCCTTGACTCTTCCCTCTTCTCTTACGTTTAATAAGCAAATTCTGTTTGTTCTTTTTCTGTAGTGCCCCTCCTATCTGCCCACACTTCAAAATCCCCATAGTTCATGTTAGTGTCCTTTTACCTGAACTGTTGCCTCCTTACAAGGTCCTTACAGTGGTTCTTACAATGGTCTCCTTACAAGTCTTCCTAACTTTGTTTCCCTCTCCCTTAGGGATCTCCATTGAACATACTTTTATTGTGTCCTACTATTTTGTATGAGAACTTGAATATTCACGACTCCCTGATGCCTACAGAATAAAGTTCAAATTCCTTACTGTGGTTTTCAAGTCCTGCTCTGCCTGGCCTCAGCCCACCTCTCTAGTCTTATCTGCCACAACTCGCCTTCATTTCCTCTTACTTCAAACTTGACTGCTTATTATTTCTGGATAAAGCTCTGTACTTTTTCACCTCTTTGTTGACGTCTCATTCAATTACATTTTTTTTTTCCTTTTTGTCTTTTTTCGTGTCCGGCAACGGATCACAACCCTCAGTGTCGCACCCGTACCGGACCGGGACCGGCAACGGCAACGGAATCGCAACCCTCGGTGTTGCTCCCACACCTCGCTCAGCCAGTGAGCGGGAACCAGTCTGTATGT